TATATATATATATATATACATATTTTATCATTATAATTTTATATGAAATTAATATATATACATAATATATATAAACAAATAAGATACATTTCAACACAAATAATTAACTTTCATCCACTTTCCTTACGATTTTGAAGGGATTGATTTTAGTGAGTTGAAAGAAAAATTAATTCATCAATTTTTTCATCATTATTACTTTCTTTCCTTATCAAACATGATGTAAATGTCACTATTTAATAAAAAACTTACAATCAAATAAGGTATATATTGATTTATTATTATATCGTGATACCACGTAATAATAGTGATGTAGTATCATCGATAAATTCTATGTTTTTAGTAGGTTTGTCCGTACAGTGATGTGGTTAATTGTGATTGGCTCGTGGACAGAGATGCTACTTTGGATCTCAAGCAGTTTTCAAAGTCTATATGTCACGATGGTCCATACTGTTGTCAAACCCAACCAGCTAGTTCACAGAATGTTCACTGATTATCTTGAATTTTGGACCTTGAATTTGTCCCAATATTTTATGGACTCAGTTTCAGCTGCGTACAGTCCAACGGTGAAAATCGTACTCAAACACTCAGAATTTATACAGAGTTTGGCTTAAAAAATTAGAACTATTCGAAATTTTGACCAATGATCTCAGCGAATTTTGACAAGAATTCTAAGGTTGTTGATGGGAATTTAAGTAATTTGACAGTAATAAATGTACACGTGAATAATTACAACCGTTAAGGAATGAAAAAAGACGATTGAGAAAGACGCTAAAAAATTTTGACCTGGAGAGCCGAGTATGCTCCCTGAACCTATAATTAAAAATGATATGACAGTTCATTAATGGGGTCATGAGTAATTACAATAAAGTCATTAATGAGTATCCAATTCTTCGAAATATGAGACAGTCATTATTACAAGACATTAATGACCATTACGCCAAGTTGAAGTCATCGTTAAACCTTGAGGGTGCTATATTCTCCAGTATTGAACACTCAGACGTAGGTGCCAAGTACTGAGCAAAGGTATTTAATGACTGGGGGATTAGCCATGAATGCTCGGTGATTTCCGAACAAAAGTTCACTTGCCTGAGGGGACTAGTCATTAGATGGTTTGATTTAATGACACTCAGGATGCTAGAATATGAGTGCAAACTATAAAATTCTAAGATGTTATTCAAAGGCACTGCTATCATTGTAAACTCAAGTATAAATGCCCCTCAAGAAGTTGTACTAAGTACACAATCTGATAATAGAAAATACATTGTGTTAATAACTCCAATGCTGACTGACTTGAGTTTCGGAAGGAATTAGCCGAGTATACATCCGGCCCCCTCTTTCTAATAATTTGTTTTAGGTTTATCAATAAGAAACATTATGCGCATCGCTATCTCAATTCAATATAGGAAATCACCCGTTCAGTTATGGAATAGATTATTTTCTTCATCATAAAATCGAAAATTCAAAATTACAAGCCAACCTCTTCCTATTCTTGCCCTTTACAATAATGTCTTTGCAAAGTTGGACTTGAAATATGGGAGTATTATTGCTCTGTCCGGAAAGTTTTAACTTTCGTACTGATTCTGAGAAAGTTTAATCAATCTTCTAATCTTTTAACTCCATTATGAAATGGGTTAAACAGGTGTATCCCTTATCCATAGGAATCATTGCCGTCTTTGATATACATTGTTCCACCAAACATGCCTCTAATAATAAAAAATAATAACAATAAGACACTAGTTATAGTAGTCCCATGAGATGCATAAAATTTGTAACGTCTTTCAATTGTCAACCGCCTCCCCTCTCTCGATTGAAGATTTTCTATTTGTGTATTCAACTGATTATGTTTAGATTTTTTCTTTTGTGTTCAACAATTAGACGTGTTCGAATTAATTTACGTAGACTTCAGACTAGTTCTTTCCTTGGTCCGGTTAAAAGTAAATTATCTATTAGCTTGAATCCCTGTTATCACTTGAACTATTCCTTCAAATTCTAACAACTTTCCACTATTAACCGCCTCCGCTCTCTCAGTTCAAGGTTTTCTATTTGTGCATTCAATTGATCATGTTTAGATATTTCAACTCATAGACGATAGCAAAAAGTGGTGGGAATGTTGCACTGATTGTTTAATAAAGTTTAAATTAACTTGGAGTAATTAGTAAAAATATTAAAATGCATGGAGGCATATTACTTAGGAGAAACTAATTCCCAGTCTAGTAAATAATTCAATAATATAAATAGAATTAACAAAATGAATGGGGAATGCCTTTCATGTCTTCTCCCACTGATTTAATTGTTATAGTATTGAAAGAGATAGGCAGTGAAAGACCCAACAATTCTAAAGTGCAGGGGGGTCAAATACAATAATCTATTAATGTGTTTAGGATGTTTATTTAATATTTTTAAAAAATACAAAAAATTATTGGAAATCAATATAAAATTTTAGAAATTTAGAGGGCAACGGTTCTTCTCTCAAGTCACGTGACTTCAACATGAGAGATTAAGTTAATAGAAATGGAGTGCCGTAGCATGATGAGTAATCCATAGGACTCCATCCCTATCGCCTATCCACCACTCTTGCGAAAGTTTTGCATGCACTAAGAGACGCCATATTGAGGAGAAGATAATTAACATTCAATTTATTTAATTTAGAATTTAGTTTCATCAAATTGAACTTCAATTTCATCAATTTAACATCAAATTAGTATCTAATTACTATTTTAAAATTTAATTTTGTCAAATTAAAGTCAAATTAATATTAAATTTATTTAATTTAGAATTTAGTTTTATCAAATTCAACTTCAATTTCATAATTTTTAACACCAAATTAATATCTAATTTCATCAAATTAATATTTTAAAATTTAATTTTGTCAAATTAACATTTAATTTAGAATTTACTTTCATGAAACAAAAATAAATTGATAAAATCAATGTTAGTGTGATGAAATTAATATTTAAATAAAATAAAATAAAATATTCATTTATTAAAAATAAACTCTAAATTAAATAAATTTAATGTTAAATTGACAAAATAATATTTTAAAATGTTAAATTGATAAAATTGAATATTAATTTTGGTGTTAAATTGGTAAAATTAGTATTAGTGTGATGAAATATTTAAATTAATAAAATTAAATGTTAATTTATTAATATTTAATATCAAAATGATGTTGCTGGTAAGGAGAAGTGAATTTTGGCCAATAAATAAGAGGAGAATATGAATCTCTGATCCCAATCAACGTTGAGCATAAATATGTTATATCACTATAACAGAATGCATGACATCACGTATTCTGTTACATGTCAGTAACTGCTGTGACTGACTGTAAGAGTATTAGGTGAAACCGGTCATAAACTATAAAGGGTGCAATGACATTTTAACAATTATAGGGTTGTCCTTGCAATTACGTTAATCTTGAGGGGGTGTCAGTTAAATTTCACTATTTTTTTTTGTTTTTTACATATGTGTGTATATTAATGTATGTATGGACACTGTTGTAATAATTTCAATCACTTATATCAATTAAATTGAAGTTTATGTGGTAAACAAAATTTAATAGATAGTTTAAGTAGTAATATGGACGAGCTGTAACATTAGACGTTTTGATTTTGAATCTTGGCAATCTTTTAGGATTTCTTCATAAATATTTTAGTCTCAGTATGCATAATCTGCCTTTGACTAGACCGAGGAGGAAATTAGTCGAGGTACACATAAGTTGATTAGAAACTCTTAACCGTTAATCCCAAAAAATAAAAAAGTGACAAAAAAAACTCAAAATATCGCTCATCACATAAAGTGCAAGTTTACACTTCGCAATTTATTTTAATTTGTTAATTTAATAATGTGATAAGCGATATAGTTTTAATGAAAACATCAGAGATGATGCTAAAATAACGTAATTGAGTCCTATTCATTATCACATTATTAAATAAATTAAATTAAATTTTTGAATACAAATAATGTTACTCTTCCGCCAATGAGCAAATATATGAGTTTGGCTGATATATATCTATCTTGGAATAAGAGAACTGGATTCTTGGAACCAATCAATGGCATGGTGACAACGGGGAGAGTCCCTTTCTTTGATCCCCAAAGTTCACCAACTATAAACCATCCTCTAATTGGACCAAAACAAGCATGAATATGCAATATGGTGTGAGAACTCTTTTGATGTTAGTGAATAGCTCAATGATTCGTTTGAACAGAGTCCTACAAGTTACGCATGTTATAAAGCACTTCCTATCATGGAAAATCTCTATTGAAAAATATTGTCTTTAATCTTAAAATATCCATATGTAATATAATTATTTTCTCGTTCTGTAATCGAAAACCCAAATTTTTTTCTAAAATTACTTTCGCTATGTGATTGAAAAATTTAGTTTCACGATAATATAAGTAATTTCACTTTGACACATAATGTCATGACATAATTACAAAAAATTATAAATATACCGCACAAGTGCATATGTGTGTAACCGTCTAATGATATAGTATAACAAGTGGGCAATCAAATGGTCAAATCGATTTTGAATCAATCCAGTTTTTTCTGGTTTAGAAAATTAAATTGCACATAGTTCTTCATCCACTGGAGACTTTGATTGATCCAACACATTCGGTTTTACAAAACAGACAACAAAATATAGCAATGCAAGGCATCAATCCACACGATAAGCTAGACATTTATTTGTGAGATAGAAATTAATCTAGAAAGAGCAAATAAAGTGACCATTCAGTGGATCTTACCTTCAGGTCAGCACAACTTTTGATAAGATCATCAGCAAGGTGGTTTGAAGAGAGTGAAAAGATGAAATTTCAGTCAACTTTTCAAACCACAGAAGGGCTTGTATGAGGTATAGTAGGACATGAAGCACTGGTGACTGGAATTTCGGTGTAATTGGAGGGAATTTTTCGTGGGAAATTCCGAGAGCACTTGAATTTATTGGTGATTGAAGATCGAATAAGAACCCAATCAAACTCAGGTAAAAAAGACCTAATTTGTTTAAGTGAGTACTTGACTGTTGGCAAGAGGGATATATAGAGAGGCAAGTATGAGATTGCAAAGACAGTGACTGGGAAAAAGGCAACGGTGTACAACGCAATTTTTGTCCACTGTTCCTTATTCCGTATCATAAGGATGATAGTTGCCGCGAATGCCAGCATCATCATCGACACAGAGAAAATTAGAAGTGTAAATCCTAGCAGTAGTTGTTGAGGAAGAGATTGCTTGAAGTCATTTAATCGGAATGGTGAAGTGAGGATGGAAAGAAATACAATGACTGAAGTCAGAGTGAATGTAAGCGAAAGGACATCAGCAATGGTAAATATGACAAAGAAGGGTTGGTTGATAAGAAGTGGAACACCGCTATTCGGGTTTGAACCTCCCGGTACTGTGTAGGCTGCAGCAAAGGCAACTGTGACAATGAGCACAGCAACAATGGTGCAATTTTTAGCTGTTTCCCTTAGCCATTCTTCTGCTTTATGTCGAAGTTCTTCATTGTTATCAGCAAATAAGCCCTCAGCAGTTTTCCCTTCGGAGTTGATGTGCTTAAAGGAATAAGCTGAGCAGATTTCCTTTATGCGCTGCATTTGACAGACAATCGAATCAACATCAAGTGTGCTTGAATCGCAACACAACGTCAAACACAATCTATCATTTGTTTGATCTTATTTTTGTGCAATTTGTGTGAAAACAAGGTGCTTCAAGATTTTTTATCATGGTCACAAATGCTTGAAACACCTGCAATGGCAAACAAATGACTTCCTAAAACAAGGCCAAAGGCACAGTGGCATTACTTATGTACTAGGGAAGAGAGTATGTATGCTTGCACCTCAAACAAAAGCAAATCATCTCGCAATTGGAGAGCAGGGCTTTGGGTTGCATCCTCAGCTGTACGACCTTCTCCCCGCTCTCCAACCATGTGTAGAATGGAGTTTGAATTCCTGCCAACCTTCCGTGCCAGCCACTTCATTTGAATTTCCATTTTCTCAACTATATCAAATATTTCTATTTGGCGGTACTTGATGGCTATGTGTAAAATAGTATTGCCTTCATCATCGATATGCTTGAATGCTTCGTGATTTGCTCTCAGTATCTCATTTACAATCTCCACACAGCCGTAACTAGTGGCCAAAAATAATGGTGTTTGTGGTTCCTTCGCCTTTTCTTGCTGTACATTGTTTGCCTCTTTTTGCAAGGAAGGAGTACTCTGTGTGTGTGGCTCCTCTCCAAACTCACGGTTAGTATACTCCCGTTGTCGTTCTGCTTGTGCTAACAATTGGGCAAGATTAAGAGCTGATTTATATTTTTCCTTGTTTTTCCGAAGTTCTTTCCACCAGGGCAGTCTACACCATGACGCACCTTTCCAAGAAATAAAAATCGGTTTGTAATTGATTTCAACTGTAAGTTTGTAAATGTTCCATACTATGATATCAATGATGATAATAGTGATAAATTAAGGTATGATGTATGCAGTAAAATGTTAATATATGTTGACTTGTATGAATCTTGGGTTTTTCCTCGATAGATAAACAAATAAATTAAAGTTGCGCGTATGTTAGATGTATCATTATGTTGGTGATTCGGAAGGACAAATGTAACATTGTATGAAAGTGCATTAACCAATCAACTCTTCACCTGCTTCACTTATACTGGTAATGCCTTCATTTGAAACACCTGAAAAAAAATTTGAATATTTGTGATGTACACAGATTTAAGCACCACTATATATGACACAGAAGATAATACTCTATACAATTTCTATATAATAAAATATAATACAATTCAAATTTCAAAAGATAAATGAAATGAATTTTACTTTTCGCGGTTTAGATCTATTTAAATTTTACTTCAAAGTTAATCTGACGATTATTTTTAACATCCCAAATTTATTATGAAAAATAGACTTCTGAGAGTGTGTTTGAGATAACTTTTTGAAAGTGCTTCTAACACTTATAACTTTTCATAAATACTTTAAAAAAAAAAAGTAGTGTTTCGAATGCCTCACCACCACCACCGTCGTCGCCACTAGCATTACCGCCACCCCACCACTACCAACACACCCATCGTCCCACTACCACCCTCACCCTACCGCCTCAACACCCCCACCATCATCACCACCCACAACCATCACCATCACCACCACTGCCGCTATCATTCTACTACCGTCATTGTTCCATCATCACCCGCCCCACCACCACCACCTCCACAACCATCATCACTGTTGTTACCTTATTGCCACTACCCCACCGCCACCCCCCACTACCAACACCACCCACAATCGATTGCTGTCACCGTCGTCCACCGCTACCACCCACTACAATTGTCATCTCATTGGTATATTTATTACCACTATCATCATCATCTTATTACCATAGTCGCACATCATCAGCACCCACCATCACCATTGTTGCTCATCACTACCCACCCGCTACCATAATCCACCATCACCCGTTATTGCCCATCATCGCCTTTAGCCACTATCACCCACCCTTACCACATTTACCACCACTATCCATCATCGTCCACCACTACCACCATACCTACCACAGTCACCATCATCATTATTCATCATTATCACCCATCACATTGTCGTCTAGAAGCACCTGTCGTAACCCACCACCACTATTGTCATCGCCCACCATCGCTACCAATAGCACTGCTGTCACCTATGGCTTCCACTATCACTATTGTCACCTAAAACTTTTAACCACCACCATCGTTGCCACCCATAGTTGCCATCATCACCACACTCGTCGACACTCACCACAATTATTACTATCACCCAGCACTGCCATTACCATCCACCGCCTATACCATCTCTCACTCCTATTAAAATCGGTGTTTAAATTGTTTTTTCTTTCCTCTAAGTTTGAGATTTGATTTTAAGTGTAAATACAAATATATTTATTATTTATCATTTTTTAAGGTAAAATTATACTTAAATACCTTAAAATTTATCACTTAATCACTTAAACCCCCTAACATTTGAAATATTAGACACATATTCCCTAAGGTTTGTATACACGTAACACTTAGACCCTTACCTTCATTGTGTATATCAATTAGTAAATTACACTCAAACCCCCTAAAATTTATAGGCGTGCAATATTTAGATCCTTTAAGTTTAAAATATTATATTTAGACAAAAAAAATACTGCAATCAAAGAAAAAATATCAAATATTTTAAATTTTACAACTAAAATTCATGTTCTATTATGACATTTATTGAAATAAAATTAAAAATAAAAATCTAATTTTTTATTAAATAATCATAATTAGTATATAATTATACTAGTTATAGAAATTTAATTTGGTCGTTTAAATTACCAAATTACGCCAATTAAAGTTAAAAGATATTGTATCTATTAAAATTTGATCATTTGTTTGATTTTATAGTTTTATTCCAATAAATAGTATAATTGTATACTAATTATGACTTTTTAAGAAAAAATTAAATTTTGATTTTTTGATTTTATTTCAACAAATAACATAATAGAACATGAATTTTACAACATTGTGTTTATTACAATTTGACCTTTTGTTTGTTTCTATAGTTTTATTCTAACAAATGACATAATAGAATATGAATTTTGGTTGTAAAATTCATGTTCTGTTATGAATGACTGATACCCTTGTTCTATTTTTTAGTTTTATTTCAATAAATAGTATAATTATATACTAATTACGATTTTGTAATAAAAAATTGAATTTCTATTTTTGATTTTAATTCAATAAATGATATAATAAAACATGAATTATGATTGTAAAATTTAAAATATTTGATATTCTATTTTTTACTGAAGTATTTTTGTCTAACTATAATATTTTACACTTAAAGGGTCTAAGTATTATACGCCTATAAACTTCAGATGGTTTGAGTATAATTTATTATCGGATATACTAACGGATATTGTCAGTAGGGGTTTAAGTGTTATGGGCGTACAAACTCAGAGGGGTCTATATATAATATTTCAAATGTTAGGGGTCTAGGTGATTAAGTGACAAATCTCAGGGGCTCTAGATATAATTCTCCTTTTTTTTATTATTCTGTGTCTTCAGGCATATACAATAACTAGTATATATATAAAATAAAGTACAACATAAAAAATGACTCTTGTTTTTTGTGATTGAGATTATTTTAAATTTTACTTTAAAGTTATTTGACGACTAATATTAACTCTCCAAATTTAATAGGAAAAAATAGGCCCCCCTAAGGATTTGTTTGGGGTGATTTTTTAAAAGTGTTTCTAGGACTTATGACTTTTTATAAGCACTTTAAAAAAAAAATAGTGTTTGAAACAACTTATTTTAATTACTTCTAAATAAGTCAAAAGTAATTTTACCACTTAAATAAGTAAGTAAAAGTTAAAAAAAAAA